CGTGAGACATGGCCCCAGTCTACGGATGCAGATCAGGCATTGCCATTGGAGACCGGTTCGGTGCAGCCCCAGAGACGTGTATACGCGGATTAGGCGGTGTCGTGGGAGACTAGGTACACGTGGCCCGATCCAGACGTCGTGGCCGAGGAATGCGTGGCTGGCGAGACGGAAGCACCGGGAGTATATCCTCGAGGAACGAAGAACTCAGCGGTGAACCGTTTGTCCCTGAGTCACCAAGCTACACAAACGGAAAACATGTTTCATTGAAATAAACGTGACGAGATATGATAACGCGCTTAGTCTCTGTATTGTAACACTTGTAGCCACGCTAATCCAGAGGATACCCCAAGAACATCCAGCGAACAGAAACACGGCGAGAGATTGTGTGGTGCGATGGCTTTGGTGTTAGGGTAGCAGAGGCAACCAAAAATGCGCAAGTGAGCATAATCTGGAGACGCGCCGAACAAAAGTTAGAACGGAGTGTAGTTTTGTCGAGGGCGACAAGGACGCCGATTTAGAAGATATGTGGACGTGGCAAGTGCATCAGGCCAGAACGAGGGTGGGAGCGATGCCTCTAACATGAGAGCACAGAGGCGATCATTGAGCATGCGCAGAACGTGCTCGGCATGGCCGTTCTGTTGTGATGTGTAGGGGCAAGTCAGACGCAGTGCAATGCCATGCTTGGCAAAGAACGCGCGCGACGCAGAGTTGTCAAACTCCTTCCCATTGTCCGTTTGAAAACACTGAATCGGTCGCTGAAATTGAGTGCCAACAAAAGCATGAAACAAAATAAGAGTGGTCAGAACATTAGACTTGTGGCGCAAGGGGAAAGTCCACGTATAGTGAGAAAAATCATCTAAAATGACAAGATAAAATTTGTATTCTAAGTTGTTCATTATTGGCGAGGTCCAAACATCACAGTGCAACAATTGGAAAGGAAAAGAAGAAACATTTGAGGACTCTTTGAATGGAAGCCACACGTGCTTGCCAAGGCAGCTGGCATGGCACATGTGATGACTGGACTTGGAGCAACTGAAGCCGACTGTGCGAGACAAATGCAGAGGAGCATCCCGACCTGGGTGGCCAAGCCGAGAGTGCCAGAGGTGACCATTGGTCGATGTGAGGAACACCTGCGAGGGTCGTGGAGGAGCAACGTCATGACCAGTGCATAGAGGGTACAGCTCGTCGGAAGAGTCACATCAGAGGAGCGCCATCCTGGTGCGAATGTCCTTGATGGAGAAACCCCAAGGATCAAATTCCACAGACACAGAATTATCTCGAGTTAGAGCACGAACATATATGAGATTCTTGACAAGCTGAGGAGCAATCGGGACATTATTCAAAAGTAAAGGATTGGAGGAGGTGGGGATAGAAGCACGACATCAGACCGCCGTTGCCGACAACGATCTGACGAGGAACAGTGGAAGAGGAACAAGTGCTAAGTATACCAGGGTGGGAAGCCATGTGGGAAGAGGCGCCTGTGTCCAGGAACCAGTCGTTGGCGCCACTGGTGGAGGGGTTCAATGACATGCTGTTGAGTGCGGAGTAGAGCCTGAGCGGCAGGGAGCCGGTGTCGTGCTGTGGTGGCGGCGCGGCGAACGCCGTCATGGCCGAAGGAGGGTTGACGCTGGGGCGCGGCGTGAGGACGCCCGAACGCCAGGCATTCAGCGGCCATGCCTGAACCTCCCCTTGCCACGAGTTGTAGGGGGCGGCCCATTGCGGTGGCGGAGCGGGTGCAGACTGGCACTAACGGTTGTCTGCCTTGCGCTTCTTGCGACGGTCACCGCTAGTGGCGCCGAAGACGATGGGGCTGGGCGGTGTAGGAGCCGGCGCAGACTTGGTGGTGGAAGGCGTGTCGCGAGCGGCAAGGAGCGCCGTCTGTGCCTCCATATGCAGGGAGTACTTGATGCGGTGCTCCTCCTGCAGCAGATACGATTTGGTGTAGAGGAAGGTCGGCGGCGGCGTCATGGTGGAGAGCACAGCGATAGCTTGGCTGAATTTGTTGTTTAGCCCACGAAGAGTGTTGATGACGAGCGCCGGGTCGGAGACGGCGGCGCCGCAGTCGTAGAGGGTGTCGGCGAGGCGCTTGAGCCGGCCGCAGTACTCGCCGATCGACATGTCGCCCTGGAACAGGCTGTGGAACTCTTGTTGTTTGTAGACGGCGCGCTGCAGACTGTTGTCGAGGAACTGACCGGTGATGGCGGTCCTAGCAGTGTAGGCGGAGTTGCACGGCTTGTAGGCATTGCTCCAGATGTCCTTGGACACCGTAGAGTAAAGCCACAAGACGATGCACGAGTCCACCTGCAGCCACTCGGGATCATCGATCATGGCGGCCGCGTTGATGGTGCCGTCGATGTGGTTGACGAGGATGAACTTCTGGAAGGTGAGGTCGAAGAAGGATCGCCATTGCCGGAAGTTCCCATCATCCATGGACATGGTGACAGGAACGTGACTACGGATGTTAAGGAGGACGAGGTGGAGGCCGTGGGAGGGACGGGTTCGGTAGGCGCAGCGAAAGGATTGGTGCCGGAGGAGACCGAACCGGTGGGGCTCGCCATGGCTGAGAGCAGCGGAAGGTGGAGATGAGGATCAAGAAGAGGTAGATACCATGTAAGAGAGATGAACTAGGAGAGAATCACACAATCTGCATTACACTCAGTGGAGGTAGATATACAACAACCGGAGCTCCCACGGTTAGCTGATCCTATAATCTAGGCGACGTGGAGAGAGCAGCCAGGTCAAGCAACGGTTACAAGAGATAAGACTCAACGCAAAAGACGCTTAGCCTATACTATCTCTCTGACAGATTCCCAGGTAGGAGAAACCATGGTTTCACCACAACTGCATGCTATCTGGACGCACACGTGATATAGAGTTCAGAACCAGCTTCTTCCGGGTTGCTGTTGCAGATTCAGGTTCTGCTACTGCCCCTTTGAGTGGGATCGACAAACATTCTTGTCCACCCTGGCAAGCGCCACCCTCTTTGCTTCTTTGTTCTGCATGTTACAAGCCAGTTCAGTATTCAAGTCATAAACGGAGAGAGTACATTGATGGAGCGGAAGTGGTTCCTTACCTTCTTGGCGTTCAACTTCTCCTTCAGCTTGGCTCTGAGCTGCCCTAGGCTAAGCGTAGACAAATCCACGGATTTCATGGTCACTTTTACTCCCTTCTCTTCTAGCACTGCCATGGGTTCAGTAGTGTTCTTCTCACTGCTGTTCTTGAACACTGATGTGTCCTCAGCTACAGACACCGATGGCTCTACGGTGATTATGCTCTTGGACACAGGGACACTGTGACGTCGTCAAGCAATGCTGGGGTAACGTGATCATTAGATTCTACTGCAACGTCGTGCTCTTGTGGAAGATCGCTGGTGAACGCATTCTCCTGCTCATTGCCATGACCAAAATCAGTTCCAAAATGGTTTTCCTTTAAACATTCATCGATTCTATGTGTGATATTTGGTACAGTTCCCTGATTTGGCATGTCCTCAGTAATCGCAATCGCAACTGCCTTTTCCTCAACAACTTCATCGTCAATCCCTGTGATTTCATCTGGCACTTCAATAACTACACCTATAACTTCCTTCTGTTCATCTGCATGAACAGTATCAGTTTTGAAATGATCAAAGACAACATCTCCATCCATTGAAACTTTCTTCTCATCAACTATTAGTGGTGTCTTCTCCTCAATTTCACTGTCGGTCCCTGTGACTTCTGGCACTTCAGTAGCAACCACTTCCTTCTGTTCATCAGCATGAGCAACATGGGTTTTGAGGCACGGGCACCGGGTGGACACAAGGGCTGTGAGCTCGCTGCCTTCCATGCGGCTGTAGAAAATCGTCAGGGCGGTCAGCGCCGTGAACGCGCCGCCGGCCGGCGCGGGCTGCAGAAGCCATGTGTCCTGGAGTTTGAGCGTGATCGTCTTGGCACGAACACACGCGGGGAGCTCGAGCTCCTGCACGGCGACGAGGGGCAGGGATCACAGGCGCGGAGGGACGAGGAGGAGGAGCACGCCCGCCACGCGCTCCGCCGCGAAACGCAGCCACGGCGCGGCGCGTCCGCTCGTGATGGCGTCGCTGACGCAGATGAGGAGGCGCTCGAGGGTCGCCGCGGCGTGGGCGTCGAGGGTGGCATCGATGACGTCGTGGAACTGGGCCGGCGGCACGTCGGGGCCGCATACGAGGACGAGATCGGGCACGTCGGCCTAGACGTGGCGCCAGCGGCGGGAGACCACGCTGGTGCGCGCGGTGGTGAAGGTGGAGCCAAGGCGGAGGAGGATGACGTGAAGGAGCTCGTTGGTTAGTCTGCTGAGGTGGTCCTCGCTGGGGCAGCGGCGGCGATGGTCATCCTCAGCCATAAGCGGCGGCGGCGTCGCCGGCGGACGAATCGATCGGCCAGTCGCCTAGAAGACGGAGGAAGAGGAGGAGCTGGAGCAGTGTTCCAGGCTGACAGGTGGGGCCTAGATGCCACGTCATATCAAAACCAGCCAGAGTGGAGTGCTAATCAGCAAAACCACCTCCCAATACCGTCCAGGGATTATTTAACCGGTTTTATAAAGTTTAGAGTGCAGAATATCTGGTTGTATAGTTTAGGGATTACGTAGACCACCCTCAATACATTGGGGTTAAGTAAACTTTTTTTTCTTTTTCCTCAAGGTTGATCCGATGATGCCGACGGAGCAGAGGTGAATGGCCTCGAGAGCGTAGAATGGCTGCGCGTCCTTGTAGTACATGTCGCTTATGTTGATGTTGCGGAGGGAGAGATGCGCGGGAAGTGGAAGATGAGGCTCAGGCCGGGCTTGTGACGACGCACCTCGACGTGGAGGTCCTCAACGCGGCACTTGGCGGCGTACACGAGGAAGCGCTTGAGCTGCGGGGGCCTGAGCGCGCATCTCATTGTCGGAGATGAAGGAGAAGCGCGGGACGCTCTCCATCGAGGCGAGCACCTTCCTCGGGTTGTCGGCGGGGAGGAGGTGGATGTCGCGGCAGGAGGTCGCTCCGCCTAGCGGCTCTTCCAGAGGTCGCGCCACCCCTGCGCGAGCGCCCCCGAGCGGATGGCGTCCTTGAGCGGAAGGCGGGTGAGGATGCGCCGCCGCAGGTCCTCCGGCAGCTCCGAGAGGTGGACCACCGAGGCGGACTCTGGCCCCGCCGCCACCTGCGTGCGCTGGCGACCTTGCTCATCCACCCGCCGCCTCTTCGCTCCGCCACCGCCACCGTCATCCGACTCAAGTGCCATTGGGGGCTGCCACGCGTTCCCCACTCCACTCGGCCGGCACAGACCCTCCTTCCTTCCTGTCCCTCCAACTCCACCGGACCACCGGGAGCTTAGCATTGGCAATGGCAGGCCGCCTATCACGAAAAGGGTAGTGGGCTGCTGCACTGCAGCACTGGCCAGCAGCCACTGGGTTGTTCAACGCTGAGAATCTTGGGCCAGTCAGACTAATCAGGCCCATATGCTTTTTGCTTTTTTTATTAAATTAATTAAAAAGGTCCTTTTCTTAAGCAGCCAGCTGGTCACGGAGAGAAAGTACAGGTACGGCGCATTGGCGCTCAGCCTTCCAGTACATATACTATACCAGTATCTATCTACCCTACTCTTATACCATCTTTTTCTATACTAAGTCTACATCATAAAACCTTCCCACTGAGGTGACCCTCCTCCGCTCATCCAAAAAAAATATACCTTACAGATAAACCATCCAAATTGATATTATCTCTTATTACTCACTCAAATCCAATCATCAGGACCGCGTGTATGTTCCTCCTCAGCCCCTGCTATGTGCCTCGCGCAAAGAAACCAATCCGCGCGCGCGACATCCGCGCGAGATCAGCGACATCGCCAGGCACCGTCGCTGCACTCCCTGCCTCCCTCTGCTACGCGACGCGACGTCCGCCTCCGCCCGCCGCCTCTCGCCATCACCGTCGGCTCCCTCCCCCTCTCTACGCAGGACGCGACAGCCATCCCCTCCCTCTTCGCCCTGCGCCAGGCACCGTGCTCGCTCCGTCTCCTCCCTCCATCAGCGGCAGCCGGTGGAGATCAGGCGGCGGCCTCGCGCTCGCAGTCGCGGCGGTGGTCGTCGAGCGGATGCGACATCATCGCCCTTCCATCCGGTGGTGTCCGGCAGCGAACAGGCGTCCGGATTCGGCTCCTCGCTCTCCCTACGCACGCGTGGCTCCTACAAGTCCCAAGGGAGTCCACGCGCTACTCCTATCCACGCGCTACTCCTACAAAGAAGTGAGTTCCTTTGGACACAATTCGATTTTGTCAGGCATGCAGCACAGGAGCATTGAGTTGCTCGTTTTCATTTTGGCTACCATGCTGTATTTGCTTGAATCGAATTTTCTTTTGCTCGACTCGATTCAGTCAAGAGAAGCCGTTTCATGTTATTTGGTAGCAGCAGCAAACTAACAATTCCTTTTGACTTGATAATTGTCTGTTTCTGTTGCGTGCTTGTGTTGGCTAATGAGCAGTAGTGTATCAGTAGCATCTCCACAACTCAGCTCTGTGTTTCAGGTTGCCAAAGTGCAGTTCAGCAACTGTTGATTTTCATCATCTCACTGTTCGTCCATTTCAGAGTTGCAGTGAACATCGGTAGCCTGTGGCCTTGTTTGATCTCTCTACAATTCACTAGCATTGAATTGCGACCCGAGGAACTCTTCCTACACCATTCTTTCCAAAAAAATTTCTGTTGTCAATTGCTTGTACTAGCGACCAACTAGATTTCATGACGTCTGCGGTCTGCCATCTGGATTCTTAATCCAGTTGACTGCTTCAATGCAGGTACTCTTCGGCCTCTGTCTGGCTTTGCATCTTTGGCACCGCACTAGTGGTTCTTGGGCACAGCATCGTCGTGATGTGGATCATCACCGTCGCGTCGCGCTCTGCCGTGGCCCGTAGGTGCTGCTCCCTGACACACGCGTTGATCATCACCGTCATCGCTATCAGGTGCGTTGGCAAGCAGACGGCGATTGCACATGCATGGCATTGCCGCTGATTCCTTTTGTTCTGAATGTCGATATTAGCTGTGGTTTAGTTCTGGAGTCTATCACAAGGGCTGCACACATTACCATTTTGATGTTCTATATATGACGTGTCCATTTCTTTTTTCCCCTCAAGTTGTAGAATTTAGCCCACGACAACAGTTTAATTTTGCTATTAAACATCTCAAAATGACTGAATTGAATAGCCATATGTTTCAGTACCAGCGTAGTTTAGCAGTATTGCACCCACTTCTTCTTTACTCAAAGCCACCTAGCCACCAATGTTTGTAATAATTTGATCTTTCTTATGACAAAGTTTTTTGTTACTACCTGCTAAGAAAGCACAATGCAAGTTATTTGTCAATATGCCAATACCATTTCTGAATGAATGTCAATTTCAAATTCAGGTTTGCAAGATAGTTCCCAGACAGTGTTACTAGAAAAAGCTGGAAGGCAATCAGGTTTCTACTCTAAGGAAGGAAGTCAACCTCCATCCAGCCTGAATAGGAGCAATTCAGTCGTCAGGTTCATGATCACACTGCACTTTGTGTAATATTGTGTCAGTTGTAAACTGATAACAAGCCCATTCCCTGTAGTTTTGCTGCTTCTCAAATTCATCTTAGTTGCCTAACTCAAAGTTTTCATTTTTGTTTCACCGGTGCTTATCTATGATTATAAGCCCATTCCACTGAGATAGCCCCTGACTTGAAAATGGGGACGCCGACGCACGAACGCACTGCGTTCAGCGATATAACAAACATCCATACCCCAGGTACATGCATAGACACATATTACCACAACATAGATACAAACAACACCATGTATATATACAACACCACCATGTCAAACAGCTTGCACTGAAGAAGAATGCAAGAGGGAGGAAAGGAACAGGAAACAACGTGAGTACCGCGCTACGATAAGGGCTCAATAAACCAATGAGAAAAGGAGGAGAGAAATAGGAAGCAACGTGAGTATCGTGCGTGGCGAAAGGCTGAATCAAGTGCACTTTCAATACCACCGGATCAAGCCAGGATCTTCGGCAGGTAAGAATACGCTATTTAGAATGTGTCTACTTATCAAGTTATAGGCATTACAGTTTATTTTTTTTATGGCCCTTGTCCTATGTTACGGCAATAGCACCACCGTATCCACATGCTAACACGTTGGGGGAGCGCAGACAACATACGGGACAACTCCATAGACCGTTGGGGGATTGTATACACGCTCAAATACACTCAGTTATTTTCATGTGCATTCCACGACTTAAAGCCGTGGCATTAGCATGGGCATTATACTAGTAAAGAAGAATAGGTCATGCACAACTACAAGCAAGACGTTAGACACGCTCATATGGCGCTACTAGCTGCCGGTGGAGGATAGTTCGTTGATTCCTATGTAATTCATCATAAAAACACCTTTACAGAAGGTGGACTCCTACCCACACTTAACTTATCTTCTTCTCAAAACACTTCTTCTTTGTTAAATCATCACGCATTACCTTGCTAAAAAAAATCCGCATTACCTGACTTTCTATGCCCGCCTTGCCTCCTCCCACCACCCTCCACCTGCCCTCCTTAGCATCACCTCCGGCACCAATAAGGGATGCCCTCCTAATCATCTCCTTCCTCCTATCTCAAAATCTCGCTCCCACACCTTTATTGTTGTCCCTTCTAATTTGGCGGTGTCATCATTGTCAAATATGTTGCCATCCACCTCTAACAACAAACACACCTATCTAGCATCCACAACCACCCCTGACAAGTGATCCCACCCTGACCCTCAATCCCCAAACACCACCGTTGTCATTAAATACCCATCCCATCCTGACCCTAATCCCCAAACTCTACCCGCAACCCCGAATACGAACCGGAGGTCATCATTAGAGGTGCTCACCAAAGAAGAAGAACAAATAGCTAGAGTCAAATCTATCAGAGTCTCGTTCGATAAGATTTTGCATCATCCTTGTTTCCTTTTTAGGATTTCCTTGGGTCCTACATTGATGTGGTTTCCAAAATTGGGGGCTCTCAATTTAGGCTTAAATCAAGAGGTTTCCAAAAATCCATGGTAAGGACCTTGGTCAATCCTTAAAGAAAATCTCATACTACTTAACAAGGAGGGAAAGACTTTTTTGGATGTCAGACTGCATAAATTAACCACATGATGGATAGAGATATATGAGGTGTCCTATAGCACTGATTTGTTGTATAAGGAAAACTACAGCAAGGAATTCGGTCCACTGAGTTACACAGATCATAAATGATAATATCCATGATAATGTGTGTAAATGTAGATTCTTGCATAACTGCTATGGTATCTGAATATCAGATATCTAGTAAGAGAATGCCAAAGACATGCTATGCCAAAGACAAATCAGGCAATGAAAAATTAACACTTGGGAATCTTGAAAAACGACAATGTATCTGTTATTTGGGGGTGGAACTGGTTTGTTGCTTCTTCAGTAAAAACTTTCTAGTACATAACTATTTCTGATCCACAACTTAAAAGACATGTTAAACAGCAATTTTCAATTCTGTTACTAACAAGAGAGATCAGATAATGAAAACTTAACACCATGGATTCTTGGAACACAACATCTGCAATTTGAAAAAATGCAGGTTTGTTGCTTATCCAATAAACACTTTCTGGTAGATAAAGATATAACATTTACGCACTATTCCTAATCCACAAATTAATTTGTCCTCGTTTAAATTGTGAATGTTTTTTTTTAACAAACTGGCATGAGATGATGCTAGAGAAGAAGGTACCACCATAAAGGGCAAAGAAAAACAAAAACTATTAATAACAAAGGATCAACCATAGAGAGGCATGATCTTAGATAGTTTCTTTGCCCCTGCGCTATTGCCCAAGTTCTAGCTTCCTCCTTGATTTTTTCAAAGAGCAAAATGGCAGATAGCTCTTTGTGCTAGAGCACTCTTTGATTTCTTTCTTTCCATATCTCCCAAACCACTAGAATAATGAAAGTTCTCAAAGCTTTTTCTGCACATCATATGTGTGTGCTAGGTTAGTCCACCAAGCATGTACCGATTCGTTGGAGTCCAGTTGGTGGCTCCTATTTGATGCAACGAGACATAGTCCGCTAACAAGCTCCAGATCCTCTTTACATAGCAGCTGCATGCATTCAGCTAACAAGTGGTGAGCTGTTTCATGCGTGTGTCAACATAGTGGATAGAAGATGTTGTTTAGCCAGCCACGCGCTGCTAGTTTGTCGGAGGTCCAAATTCTATTTTGGATTACCAAGCAAGCGAAAACTTGCAGTATGTGCTAAGATATGAAGTTGCTCTCTCTTTTTTAAAACCAATCAAATATGAAGCTGCTCTGATTCATACTGATAATGTGTCCACACCTGATGTATGTGGTATCAGGACTGAAAGCAATGCAAGCACATACTGGAACTGAAATACATGATTTTCACTTTGCGAGCATTAATACTCTAGAAAGAAATTAAGAATATAACATTATAGATTTCTTCATAATGCATGCTATCTATAAGAGTTTACAAAAAAAAGGATAATTCCCTAATAGTTTGATATTGCTAGCCATAGGGCTCTGACTCGCCTTGTCATTGAAAACTAGAACTTGATAAAGGCCTCGGAATGATATGGTTGAATTGTAGCATCGTCAGACTCACTCAGCATTATCTTACCATTGGCTAAAGCTTCTTTCAGAAGCAAAAGGTCTGCATCTTGTACCCCAGGCATATCCAGCGGAGTGACATTAGGAGAAACTATCAATAGTTTACGCAGAGAGCTAGCTTTCCTCAACAAAAAACTCAATAGTTGCACCTCAGTAGAGCACCAATTGAAGTTCATGACTTTTATCATCACAAGGTTGTCAAAGCCATCCTGAGGTGGCTCTTCCCTCACCTCATCAATAGGACCTTCCATGGGCTCGTTACTGAAAGCCGGGAGCTACACAGATGAACCATAATCTTTTAGAAGAATCACAATTTGATAAGAACACAGATGTAGATGAAATAAAAATACAGGATGGTTATGATGCAAAGAAATTAGGAAGGCGTTGAAGGTGTACAACCCTGCGGCTCTGAATGAATTGGGTACGCAAATATACTTGCTCAACAAGTGGTACATGCAGGCGTGTGGCAGGGGTGAGCAGTGGATCTTTGTCAGATTTAGAGACCATCGTTACTTCCGTGGCGATGACATCTTACATATTAGTTTCGAAGAATTGCATCAACTATTCCACTTGGACGCTCTGGACAAATCAATCATTAGCTCCTTTTGTTTGTAAGTGATTCTTATTTTTATTTAATAAACTCACTTCCATGCGTACGTGTATATAATTATCCTCACATGTAACTTATATTTATATACAGATTCCAGATGTCAGAGCTCCAAAGAATACAAGACACCAGTGTTGGCTTCATTGATCCTTATATCGTATTCAAAACCGGTATTATTGTCAAGGAGCGGTGGGTATCTGAAGCACAGGAGAATATCATGATGTTCTTCGTGAAGCAGCACGACAAGACAACAATACTTTTCCCGTACAACTTTGAGTAAGTGTTAATAATAATGTAGTCTACACATTTTATGTAATATCAATACAACTTATATGCATGTACGTGTGTGTATAAACCAATACAGGTTTCACTGGATACTCATTGTCATTGAGTTAAACTCAAGTCGGTTAGTAATCTTTGACTCGTTGAGAAAAGAGCGGACACTATACCAAGATATGATAGACATTATTCAGGGGTAATTTCGATCTCTCGCGCTGTCGCGCACAACTATTATTGAATAGACTTTGCCATAATTTATTAACGATCGTACATTATTGGTCGCATAGGGTTTGGAAAGAGTTTATTCGGCAACATCGCAAGGATTGTAAGGCACCACTTAATGTAGTTGAAATACCAGTAAGTTATACTATATACACTTCCCCACGTGTTTAATTACTATATCGTACTTCAATTTACGTGTAAGATGATGAGAATAATCTTCTTCTCGTACAGTGGTGTTTGCGGTAGGAACCAGGTAATAACTTGTGTGGATATTACGTTTGTGAATTTATCACTGCGCACATAAGAAGAACTCCTAAAGATGTCCTTAGAGTACGTATATATCAATTTTTTTATTTATTTTTAAATGAATATATATATATATATGTATTAATATTTTTCCTTTTATTTCAAATGCAAGACTGAATGGTTGAAACGAAGGGTCATGCAAAAAGACCATCTGAAAGCAGTTTAGGAGTCAATAGCAGGATATCTTCTAGAAAAGTGCTAAATCCCAACGGCGAGTTCTACTTTGATCCTAAGGAATAAATGATGTAAATTAAATGTTTATAGATATCGTTATTTTCGAGAACAAGATTATGAAAGTGTTGTATATATACATATATATATATATATATCTAATATATATAGGTTCATACTTTATTCGAATATAATAATGCTCGAGATGAGAATTAGATGTAATTATATGCGTGCGTGTATTTATATTAGCAGCGTAGAATACGTACATAAAAACATATTATATATTAAACAAATAAGTGTAACTGAAAACAAATTAAAAAAAAAAGAAAAAGAAAAAGGAACCTTTAGTCCCGGTTGGGGTTCTTCACGTTGCTTGGAGGGTCTTTAGTCCCGGTTGGTAACACCAACCGGGACTAAAGGTCCCTCTTTAGTCCCGGCTCGATGACCCGGGACTAAAGGTGGCACCTTTAGTCCCGAGATCGTTGTCCCGGCGTGGTAACCAGGACTAAAGGCCGTTACCGTCCAGGACAACAAGTCCATTCTGTAGTAGTGTGTTAACCTGCACAAATAGCCTTTCCAGATTAGGACATCGGCAGGCTTGAGGAACACGTAGAGGTCAGCTAGGTTGACAGCTTTCATGTCTAACATGAGCAGTTGCAGCTCTCTCAAACTGTGTAAGTTGCGACTAGGCAACGTGACACCATTACTTGGCAAGGAATACGATGCAACCTAAAATAAAAGGTATGATCAACTAAGCATATATGTTTTTTTTTCTCTTTTTGTTCTATGGGAAATCAAGTAACTTATAAGTTAGATGATAGTCCCTCTGTTCTAAATTACAAGACGTATTGGCTTTCCTAGATATTGCTTTCGCTATATATCTAGACATAATTTATATCTAAATGCACAGAAAAAGCTATATATATAGAAAACCCAAACCATTTTTTGGCTATGTCATCCGAGTCCCTAAACTAGCAAATCGTTTATTTATGTTCTCAAACTTGTTTGCCTATGACAGGTCCCTAAATTCGCAACTTGTATATTTAGATTCTTAAGCTTGTTTGACTATGTCATCTTAGTCCTTAAACTTGATAGCTGCCTATTTATGTACTCAATGTCTATTCGGTTCTAAATGGGCAATTTGCAAGTTGAACAAAATTGAGAACCTAAACAAATGATTTGCAAGTTTATGAACTAACGAACAAGTTTGAGGACCTAAACAAACAATTTGTAAGTTTAGGGACTGGGATGGCACAACCAAAAAAGTTTGAGGACCGCCGGTGAACTTTACTCGTTTGGAATGGAGGGAGTACGTGATAAAGCAAATGACCAAATTAAACAAATCAGTATGGAGAAAAAACCTGGAGGGCATTGCAACAAATGGTGAGAACGTTGAGGCCTGGTATATTCTTGGGGATAGAAAATGTCAAACTATCGATATTGTGCTGGTTTGATACTAGCCGGTTGTCAGACCGAATATAGAGATCAGCAAGCACGCTGCCCTCCCATGGAAGGTAGAAGAGCCCGCGGCAGACGTCGCCACTGTAGCGGAAGGAGCAGAGGTTACGCGTGAGCATCAGCCACATTTTGGAATACCCGTCGCACTCCGCAACGGTGACACTCTTGACGGTCCGCGGCACTAACAATAAGCGTGTGCCAGTGTCGTAGCGGATGTCGCAGTGGATGTTGCAGCCGCGCAGGTCGAGAGTGACGAGGCTAGGGCACAGCTCCATCATCGTTGTGAAACCCACCTTACTGGAGACTGAGTAGAGCCGGATTGCCTCGAGAGCGCGGAACTGCCGGGCGCCCCTGTAGTACGTGTTGGAGATGCTGATGCGGTGAAGCGAGAGGCACACGAGGGTCCGGCTCGATAGTGGCAGGTGGAAGTTGAGCTTGTTCTTGCCGCTCTTCCGCGTCTCGACGTGGAGATCCTCAACGCGGCAATCTGCGGCGTACCTGATGAAGCGCCTGAGCTCCGAGGACTTGAGCCAGGAGGTCTCGGCGACGAGGGAGAAACGGTCCATGCGGAGGCGCGGTGGCGGCTCCTGCTCCAACGCGCCCAGCTCCCTCCGCGGGTCGTTGCGGGAGTGGAGGCGCACCTCGACGGAGCCACAGTCCCACCGGCTCCTCCACAGATCGCGCCACCCGCGCGCGAGCGCCCCTGTGCGGATGGCCTCCTTGAGGGTGAGGTGCGTCAGGATGCGCCGCTGCAGGTCATCCGGCAGCATCGAGATGTGGTCCACCGGGATCGGATCCGCACCCACCGCCTCGCTTCCGTCCCCTTGCTCATCCACCCTCTGCTTCTTCGCTCTGCTGCCGGCGCCGTCATCGGGGCCGCCGATCGCCATATCCCGCTCGTTCCCCAATCTGGGGAAAACCGTGGGTGCGGCGCGATACGACTGCGGCTATATATGGGTTCTCCTTGTTTTTATCTGCTATGCTTCCTCCTTGCGCCGAAACTTGCCGGCGGTGTCACGTGAAGCGGTGCGCGCAGCATGCATAAGCAAAAGCATGATGTAGAACTGCGCGGCAGAAGCATGACGTAGAAGGAAGTAGCTTTGCATATCGTTTTTGAAGAAAAAAAAATGACGTTCTAATGAATGCAATAGTTTCCAAATCGTGTATCCAAAGGAAATTATATTGGTAGCATTGTATCCCTTACAATAACGAGAAAATTTCTTATTTGACATAAAAAAAAAACTTGTTCCTAATTTAGCACTCAAACTTCAAATTTTCCTTATCTGACACCTCTTCAATTTTTTTTCCTAAACTGACACTGCCGTGGTTTGGCATGTAATAATGGTGTTAAGTTCCATTGTGCAAAGACGTTTTTGTCCCTTCAAGTGTTCTAGCTCTATATACCGGAAACGTCAAATTTGCCGAGTGTTTTTATGTTTACCGAGTGTATTCTCTCGGGCACTCGGCAAACAAGTTCTTTGCCGAGTATTGCGCTAAAAACACTCGGCAAAAAAAAACACTCGGTAAAGAGGGGGTTTGCCGAGTGTCAAAAAAACACTCGGCAAAGAGGGGGTTTGCCGAGTGTTTTTTATTTTGACACTCGGCAAATCAATAAAATCTTTTTTCTGGGAAAGAAGGAAAAGAAAAAAATGAAAAAAAACTTTGCCGAATGCCCAGATCTAGGACACTCGGCAAAGGAAAAAAAATCTGGGAAAGAAGGAAAAAAAAAAAATGAAAAAAAAAACTTTGCCGAGTGCCTAGATCTAGGACACTCGGCAAAGGAAAAAAATCTTTTTTGTGAAAGAAGAAAAAAAAAAAAAAAAAAAAACTTTGCCGAGTGCTCAAATCTAGGACACTCGGTAAAGGGAAAAAAAATCCTTTTTAACCGGCCCCAGCGAACGCCCCTCCCCCTCCCCTTTCTTGATTCCCCCGCAGGCGGCCCGCCCCCTCCTCTTCTTCCCCCCCGTCGCCTGGCCCGCCCCCTCCCCTCCCTTCTTCCCCCGCCGGTCGCCCGCCCCTCCCCCTCCTCTCCCTCTCTCTTCCATGGATCCGGCATGGCCGCCCCTCCTCTCCCTCTCTTCCCGGATCGCGCCCCCTCCCTCCCTCCCTCCTCCTCCTGGCTTGGGCGCCCCACCCTCCCCTCCTCCCTCTCCAGTGCGCCCCCCTCCTCCTCCCGGATCCAGCGCGGCCCCGCCCTCCTCTCCCCTCCTCTCCTCCCTCTCCCACGCCCCCTCCTCCTCCCTCTCCCGGATCCGGCCCCCCTCCTCCTCCCTCTTCGGCGCGCCCCCGCCCTCCCCTCCTCCCTCTCCCGGTCCTCCCTCTCCCGGATCCGGCGGCGCCGCCCCCCTCCCAGCCCTCCCTCTCCAGATCCGGCGGCACGGGCGTGGTGGTGGTGGCGGGCGTGGCTGTTGCGGCGTGGTGGTGGTGCGGCGTGGTGGGGCCCTCCCTTCTTCCCGGTGTGGTGGCGGCGGCGTGGATGGTGGTGGTGCGGCGTGGTGGGGCCCTCCCTTCTTCCCCGGCATGGTGGCGGTGGCATGGATGGTGGTGGCGGTGCTGGTGGTGCGGGCGTGGTGTCGGCGTGCCTTTTTTTTTTTTTTGAAAAAAAATGTTTGCCGAGTGTTTTTTGGGCACTCGGCAACTTCTTTGCCGAGTGGCCGATAGAAAACACTTGGCAAACTAGCGTTTATCGTTAACAAAGTTAGCCGAGTGTCGTTTGCTGAGTATTTTTGGGACTTCGCCGAGTGCCCCTGGCACTCGGCAAATCTCCTGTATCCGGTACTGTTATGGCATTTTTTCTGGGGCACTTGAACAGTGAGCATGTTATGTTTTTTTTGTGATTTTTTTCTGAGCACTTAGAGGCAGTGCTGACACGACTCTTTCATGTGAATGTGATTCCAGTCCCGCTCCTGGAGCCCAGGGATTATGTGCGCGGCGACGCGGCATCCCAGCATGACGATGTTACCAGAGACGCCGGCAGCAAAGAGTGCGAGGACTGCTTTCAGTGTAAGAACTGCAAGAATTCTAGAGAAGGCGTGGGGAGCCTGCGGTGGCCGAGCTGGCGGAGCGCGGGCTGGCTGCGGCGGCCGGCCGCCTTGCCGGGGCCGCGCGGGGAGGATGCGGACAAGTATTGTTTTTTCATTCAAAGCTTGAATTATGTACTTACAAAAATTATTTATGTTTACTTGTAGAAAGAAGGCAGCCTGGAAAGCACGTTAAAAAAAGCTAAGCAGTGAATTGAACTTACCACCACACTAAAGATCAACTAGAGAACAAATACTATAAGATAGTCCAGAAAGGATGACTAGAAGGTAGAAAACAGTAACACGTATAACCTATGCCATCTAATATACAGCTGCACCGAAAAAATTCTCTAGAGAGAGAAGCTACATATGGGATGAATGATATTTTGTAACATGTGAACACTTTATTTTGTGAGATGTAAACTCATGGTTTATTTGCTATGAGATGAACTCATTTAATTATGGATTTGTGAGATAATTCATTTAGTTTCAATTTATGGATTTGTTAGATGAACTCATTTATGCTTAATTTATGGGTTTGTGAGATGAACTCATTTATTCTCAAATTATGGTTTTGTGAGATCACCTTATTTATTCTCAAATTATAAATTTGTAAGATGCACATATTTTTAACTCTATCACATAAGTTTCTTTATTAAATTATGGTCATACGACCCATGTGCAATGCTGGTGGCCAGCCGGCCAACCAGACCATCAGCCGAGGGCTGGCCGGCCAGCAAGCGAAGCAGATACCCAGGGACCACACAGACCACCTAGCTAGCCACATGCAGCCTGCAAGCTCTCTCGAGTCAGTACAAGGCATCACCCCGTTCCAAATTATAAGCCACTTTAACTTTTTTGGTACATTAGTTTTGATATTTAGATATAACATATGTCTAGATACATAACAAAATATATGTGTTAAAAAAGTCAAACTGATTTATAATTTATAACGGAGGGAGTACACCACATTTGTATAAGCATAATTTTGTCTTTTTGGGTAGCTGAGTCTAGGAGGAAAAAAAGGAAAAATAGTTAAAATGGTAGGGAAAACAAGAAGCACATATTTTGCGAATCCCACTATTTCAGCCAGCAAAAATCTAATTTTCTCAAAAAGAGATGGGCCATTCAGAACCAAAACTGATGCCTATGGATGCCCAAGAAGACCACCATGGAGTGCGGACTGATCGTTAAAGAAGGGGGAAAACATGGATCGGAGTGAAGACTGAATTTAGAACTTTTGGCCCATGCAGCTTTTATTTTCTCATTAAGAAAGCGCACTTCTTTTATTTCAAATATAATAATAAAAAAAGAAAAAAAATCTTCCAATAATCAAGAAGCCTGGAGCCTTGCTATTCAGTACTCAGTAGCTTGTCTGAAAAAGAATTTGCCAAAATAAGATGGAGTTCCACACCTAGCTGGACAAAACTTCGGAATCATACTTGAAAAGATCATGCAAACTATAAAACTCATACATGAAGAGAGTCCACAGCAACAAATTTTTTTTTATCGTGAGGCTGCATAAAATTAATCAGATGAAGAAAAGAAAGGTGATGAATTCCCCAATGATTTTTCAGAGGAATATTATAACAATGAATTTAATCAACTAAGTAACAGCAACCGGAAATGATGGTGTCAATGATAGAATGCATAAACTTCTGAAGTTTGATTCAAGAAATTCACCACTCGGTCAAACAAGTATCAACTTATGCAAATAAAAGTTGTTCATTTAACAATATCAAAAGTGATCTTCAGGACTGAGCCATTTTTCTTCTTTTTCAACAATGTATGAAGTGAATCTTAGTCCTCCACTGATGACTAAATTGTCTGTCCCTGAGCTATCTTAAGCGTTGGAGTATCAATCAAGCATAACAGATATCCTAATATAATCAACTAATTGAACCTCACTGCATTTGTATTATGTTTACTACTACTATATATCTGAATATTTTTCTTATAATTATGTATGTGCATTGTTCTTTCCTAAATTAATCTTTGCTGAATGGAACAGACAGAATTACTGTCCCCATAAAAATTGTTGTCAGCATTCATTTGTGTGATTCATGGATTCAGTATTGGTTTAAACATATTGACAAAGTTTTATTAAGTACGTACAATAGGTCATTGAACTTTGCATGTAGTACTAGCTCGACTTGAGCAGAAATTAACTGTAACTTGAACTGATGCTCATGTAAACAAGCAAAGCACACGCACAAGTACTACACCACAACACCAAGATTAGCGATGAATGATCTCACGCTAAAAGTAGATACAGCGACAAATGATCTAACGCTAAAAAGTTATAGCGACAGACTTATGCAGACGGTGTAAGTCCTGTTGCTAAAAAATCTTTAACGACAGAGTACCTATAGCGACAAAGTCTGTTGCCCTAAATATTTATAGCGACAGACAGTCTACTGCTACTCTTTAGCGATAGATAGCCTGCCAGTACTCTAGCGACAGACACTTTGAAGTTACAAATGTTTTTAGCGACTGATGGTTTGACGAGATCATTTAAATGCATTTAAAAAAAATAAAAAGTCATTTGGTTGCAAATTAATACAAAAGTAACATCATTGTGCACGTTTCTCATACAAATAGATTCATTCATGACCAAGTCCAAACACTCGTTAAGACATACATATATGGTCAGCCATTACAAACATGAATCAATGATTCATCAATGATAAGTCTACAATATCAACTACCTGTATCCAAAAGAGATAGACTAGCACCTAAATCAGCTTTGAGTGGCAAATCATCCACAAACTTGCTAACTAGCACCGTAGTAGACCCTGAAACCAAAACCTAACATGCAATCAGTAACATGTTAACATAGATCAATGATCTGGTAAAGTTACTATGCTTCATTTTTTGTTAAATTAATTAGATCTTAAATAATGTGTATGTAGATTGGTACATAGAGAAAAATTGAAGGCCTCATATTAAGACTTGGTTTTCTGTATCTTTGAAGCTTACTTACGTGCCGAGCAAGTCAAATCATGTAGTAAATAGATGCTCCAAAGAAACCTAACTAGTCAATTAACACTTGTGCTACTCAAGTTAATGTTGCGGTACAAACACAGAGAAATTAGATCTCATCATATCTCTTGTTTTTACTTGTTTGCACCAGGGTTCAACGAGATAGTTTAGATGAATAAAAAATAAATAAAAATTTATCACAGATCCTATCTCAAGGTCAGGTCATTTTTTGCCTACAAATTGTACATATGTCACCAGCTTCTATCTCAAGTTTCTTATCACAGCTCCTATCTCAAGTTTTCAGGAAACTTTTTTCTCACTGAAAAATATGCAATTGCAGCCCATGTAAAGGAAAACAAACTAGGATCTATTGCAACAGTGTGTATCACATAGTCTATATATCACAGAATAGTTTATATATCACAAAACTGCATAAGATTGTTGAATTGAATATTGAACTGCATAAGTCAATCCTTTATGTGCTAGCAATTGACAAAAATCTGATTACAGCGTTAGAGCAATACAACTCACCACAGAGCCTAGCCACGTCCTAGTTCTCTTTGGCCTGAACATGAGGACGGGTCCTTATCCTGTAGTGGCATGTACTGTGAGCTCTGTGGTTGCCTCTGCTAGCTCCCTACATGTTGGACAACAACCACCTGAGCATAAATAGGTAAATTCATATAAGGTCATGCTGAAATAATAAGTATTTGTTCTTAACTTTGCATAAATAGATGATCTCTTGTGCAAGGACTTGTTAAGTATTGCTAGTGCTATTCTTAATTTGTATAACTTAACATGTTACACATTTCCTGTGAGGCTGCTGATTTGCACTTAAAAGTTAGCTAAATAAGCAGAGAAAGGACCTCAGGCTGCTGATTTGCACAGAAAGCTACCAGCCAATTAAAGGTCATGTAATGCGTACTTGAATTATAAAATATTATAGGCAGAAAAAGAAGTTTGCAAGGCAGAGGAGGAAATCATTCGCTGCTACTCTGAAACGAACTTCAAATTGTAATCCTGAAGATTGCATTACAGTACAATCGAATAGCTATTGGCTGCTAGTAGCCTACTACTTGTATTCATTCACTGCAAAATAGATGGAAACAGAGATAATACAAGAACAATCTACAAAAGTTGTCGATGAAGTCGACAAATGGAAAATAGAGCCTTTTTCAGTTAAAACAGCTACTTAAAACAAAATTCTCTAGGTAGCAGCTTAAAACAGTAAAGGATAGTCCAATATGAAGCAAAATGATAGCTACAATTAAACTACGATAAAGCTAAGTAACAACGGCACAATTAAAAGACAGCTATAAATATTCTTAAATGTACAGGTTAGTTGTGCTGAGCATATATGGAACCCGCACCACTCAAACTTTCCAAACTTTAAATTGAATAACTGAATGTCTGTATAGAATAGTAGGCAACTCAACTTCAAACTCATCAAAAATATCACATACCTTAAATCGAGTGACTGAATGATGTACGGACGCAGCTGCAGTTCTGCTACTCCTATTCCTGCTGGCAGCAGCATACAAGCTCTAAGCCTCGTGCATTGGGCTGCCAATCATGCATTGGGGACCTACTAGTACCAAAAGAGATGAATAAATAATTATTTTCCAAGCTACAATGGAATCACTTGTTTATTATGTCCTGCAACTAATCAAACAACATTCTAGCCTACCAAATCTTATCTACCCAAATAAATATTCAATGTTGCTTTCAGCTAATACTTTACAGCTTTTCATGCATCGAATTTGGTACTGTAGCTTTCATGTACATATATGAAATGATCATTAATGTGCAGCTGTTAACTTTTTTTTGAGGGAACAGCAAGGGAGGCCCCTACCTAAATTTTTTCATCAAATTTTCCTGTACATATGCAGCTGTTAAATTTCAACTGAAAATTTTAGAAGCAGCTATAAAAAAAGTTAACTACAAGCTGCAGGAAAAAAAATAGATATAGGACAATGGCACTAATCTTAGTATGCATAGTCATATTTAATGCATGATTGCAAGGACCAATTCATTGTGCACATTATCATCCCACAAATATAGGAAGTACATTAGCCCTTTGCAAACACAGAATGGCCTTTTAGTTTAGTAATTCTGAAAAAAGCTTACCATGTTAACTGCTGGTAGTGCTTTGAGATAATGCAAGCAAAAGACGTATCTGAGCACAACTTCCCAACTCTTCTACATACAAAAACAGTCAACTGCAATTGCTTGAGACGATGATGATGGGCCATGAGAACAGATCCGGCACCCTAATCCAGCAACAATGACACGTCATTCTCCAACTTATCTAGTAGCAGTTGAATAGCTTATTGGAACTATTTATCTAGTAGCGGTTCGTTTGCAGTGAAAAGCTTATCACAACTAAAGTCAAGCAGGACTGCACAAGTGCAAGAACCTGCACCAAAAAAACTACATAGTATAAATTGACTACACATAGACTTCCAACAAAAAAACTACAATAGTTCATATTATTTTCTATCATTCTCCAGTTCAATGTAGAAGCTTTTTTATATTGGATTGGATTATAATCCCTTCTCATATCCTTAATGAAGAACTCTGCACCGGTCTAGCTATCCACGGAGCATAAAGTTTAAGTTTTGGGTTGCAAAGCAAAGCAGCGATGATTTATCTATTTGACAAAATTATTATGACATTATTCATATAAGAGTTCTGCACTGGTCTAGCTATCCACGGAGCAGAAAGTTTAAGTTTTGGGTTGCAAAGCAGAGCAGCGATGGGAGAAATCAAGAACAGCAGAGAACGTATCCACACCATGCGCATCTATTCTATTCTGTTCTATAATTAGTGCTAGAAAACAACAGAAGATTTCACCCCAGCACATATGCTGGTATGCGCAAGCAGAGTATATAATATGTTCAGATCTACACTCTACCTAATAAAAACCAAATGTGAAGACGGAAACTAAAATATGAGTTAGCCAGACAGCGAGGAAAGAAACCTGAGACGAAGAGGCGTGGATGCTGTGGTGGTGTCGTGGTGGTTCCATTCAGCTTTAACCTCTAGATATGCGGCCGATGTAGCTCTTCTTGGGCTGCAGAAGCTTCTCAGGTCCAGCCACAGGCACATGGCCTCACGAGCGCGTCCCGGCCGCCACCGCCGCCCTCCCCCACATGCGCCAGCCCTCCTCGACGTGCCCCCTCCGTCGATGAAGACGCAAGCGGCTCATGGGAGCGTCGTCCGCGCTGTCCGTAGCACCCGCGACAAGGAGGAGGTGCAGGACGGAGGAGGAGCGGCGGAGGGGCGTCGAACTCGGTGGTGGAGAGCTAGATGCGAGAGAGACAAAGAGGGAGTGGTGCTGGCGGTTGCTGGGATGATGGAGATGCTGAGTTTAGGGTTTGCTTTCTAACGGGCTCGAACTGGGCCTTGTAGTGTTTAGGGTTCAGGGGAGAAATAGAGCCTAGGTTCTTTTGTGTTCATGGGCTGGGCTAAAATCGCGAGTTGGGCTAACGTGGGACCATTTTTTAGCGACAGAGCGCATGACAATATAAGTGGTTTTAGCGACATACTGCATGACGATAAATATACCTATCTATACCGACAGATAATGAATCGGTAAACGAGGAATCAGTGACAGATCATCCATCAATAAATATAATTTTTAGCGTTAGACATCTGACGGTGATGCGGTGTTGTGGTGTAGTGAAGCTCCAGATCTGGCTCTCTTTATGGTACCATGCACTAGCTGAATCATCAGGGCATCAGCCATGCGCTACTCCTGAACATAAAGGTCCGTCCCCAATAGCGGCAACACAATGAAGAAATGGCTTCACCATAAGTAGAAATATTACATCAAGCAGCCACCATATAGGCACATAAAACACGCGAACAACAAAAACTAAGAGCATGACATAGCTCTGGATGAACAGGATTACCCTATGATATCGTCCCATGGTATCACTGCCCTTTATGGGTAGCAACTAGCCAACTAGTAAAGATGACAGATTGGAATCAGCAAGCAAAGTACCAAACTCATACATACGCGCGAGCAGGGGGTGGGGGGTACTTAAAAAATCGACATGTGCTTTACCACCTGAATGCAGAAACAAATGCAGGACTAAATAAAGACACGAGATAGGAAAGTTTATTCTTTCCGACTGAAACCTGAGCTCTATGCACTGAGAAAACAAAACAACAATATCAAAATTCTATGTCCGCTTTCATGCTCACAAAGCAGCTCGGTGGTTCTGTTCCTGAGAACACCACATCAGATACTGTCAAGTGGACAACTTTTATTTGCAGAAGTTGATGCGATATTTCACTAGCATCTGCTTCCCCATGCATACAGCCATACCAATATGATGATATTTCGCAAGTATCTGAAATATATAATAACTCCAGGAAAATGCTTCAGCATGCACGTCCTCTATGTTAAAAAAAAAAAAGAGAAAGAGATCAATCACGGCATTCACATAAGAAGTTCAGCCTAGACCAGGTACAAGTTACCAAAGTAAAGTAAGGGCAAGACAACACAAGCTACAAAGCACTTCGCGTCATCTTAAACAGCCTCGCAATAGCATATACTGGATTCATCAAATGTATTAACAAACAGTGTAATCATTCGATGTAGCAATAAAATTCAGTTCCACTCACTATGTTGAAAGTTCAAATCAAACCAGTTATGTTCTTAACGAGTCCAATCTGCACATGATATTATTACATTAACCCTTTATTCAAGTTTATTCACACAGATTGATATGATGACGTTCATTGGTATCTCAAACATGTAGCTGAATCCAATGATATGATGATATTTCACCAAAATATCAAACATATAGATAGCACAAGAAAAATGAAAAGCAGCAGCTGCTCTAAAATGTCAATAGTGGCAACACCATATGGAATTATCAGTTATAGGCAATGGATCTCTTTGCTGTAGTACAACTGAGAGGGGAAATTACAGAATGCAGAATCAGCATTTTATTTCCACACACATTACCGATTAAGGCTGTCCAGTATATATCCAACTAGTCAGTGAAATGGTATCTCAAACCAAATCTTAGGGCCAGAACTTAACTATGCTGACTGAAAACTAATTGCTCAAAAAGATATCTCGATGAACTGCCTTGATTTTAGAACCAAAAAACTCACTGAGCACTTGTACCTCGACATTCTCTGGAGCTTTCTCGAGGCACAGCAGGCTTAAATCTGGGAAAATGGCATTGCCTGACTGATCCCTGTCTGGATTTGTCCCCTTAGGAACAACTAGTATCAGCTTCTGGAGGGACCTGGCCTTTCTGAACAAAAAGTGCACCAGCTCAATCTCATTGCACTGCCACTTGAAGTTGGTTATCTTTACCTTCACAAGGTTCTCGAAGCCATCCATGGGTGGCTCTTCGGCCAACCAGCTGACAGCATCCACGAAGGAATCAGTTCTGGCTTTTGGGAGCTGAGGCACAAATCACAGTTGTAAGCATTCATCAGAAACACAGAAGTGAATACGACGAGCAGCATGTACGAACTTGAGACAGAGTTACTACTAGCTAGAACTAGAACATCATTTCACAAGCGCTGACCTCCACGAAGAGATTTCTCAGCCGAGAACAACGGCACATCCCGAGGAATTCATACATGTAGGAGAGCATGGCGGTCTTCATTCCATACATGACCAGCTGCAGCTCTCTCAAATTCTGCAGGTTGCTCAACTTGGCCACCTGGGGCTGGAAATTTCCCCTGCTACGCAAGCCAGACATAAGCTGCAGAGCAAAAGCAACAACACAAATTCTGTCAGTTGGTGACATGGCGACGACAAAACCAAACATGCATGCATGGAATCCGATCGATCACAAACCCTGAGAGCATTGCTGCATATGGTGAGGTTGAAGAGGTAGGAGAGATTTGGGAGTGCATCGAGCCAGTTGTGGTACTGCATCGGGTCGACAAATGTCGTTTTCGTGAAGCAGATGTAGAGATCCCCCAAGCAGTTTGGAGGGAGGGACACGGACCGGAGGAAGCCGCCGCTGTAGCTGAAGGAATGGAGGCCTAAGGCGGTGCTGACACTGATTTTGTCGACCTGGGGGCACTCCGCGACGGTGAGCCTCACCAGGCGCTTGCTTGCAGCCGTGACATCAACGCAGGTGAGGACGCGGCAGTTGCGCAGGATGAGGGTGCGGAGGCGGGGGCACAGGAGGAGTACCCTTTTGAGGTCGAGGTCGCCGAGGCTGGTGGACCGGATGCAAATGACCTCGAGCGTGTTGATGGAGCGGACCTGGCTCATAGGTCGACGATGGGCCTCGTTGACGCCGACGCCGAAGAGCACCAAGCGCAAGAGCCGGTAGCTTGCCCGCTGGAAGTTGAACGATACCTCGGGCGGCCCCAGCCCCACGTTGACGAAGAATTGCTGGTCCTCTACGTCGCAGTCGGCGGCGTAGTCGAGGAGGGAGTAGAAGTCGGCGGGGCGCGTCTGGGCGTCGTCGACCTTGAGGAAGAGGCGGAGGAGGCGGTGGCCCGAGCCCCGGCCGCGGCGGCCCAGCTCGTTAGCCAGCAGCGGCATGATTTGGTCGGAGCGGATGTGTGTGGGGACGAGGCAGCCACACGGCCCCTGCGTCGCGGGGCGGATGTGGATCGCGAGGATGGAGTCGCACGGCCACTGTGGAGTGTTCACGAGATGCGACCACCTGTTGGAGACCATCCCCAACTTCACCGCCGCCTTGAGCGGGAGGAAGCTCAGGATGCGCAGCCGCGCCTTCTCCGGCAGCGACGAGATGCGGTCCACCTCCGCCGCCGGGGGAGGCGCCTGCTCACCGCCTTCTGGAGGCAGCGGATTCAGGTCCGGGGCGACTCCGCCGCCGCCGCCGCGGAGTTGGTACGCCATTGACGCTGCTCTCCCCTTTGCCCTCCTCGCCGTTTCACCCTCCCGCCACTCTTCCACTCGTGCGCTTATCTCTGCTGCCCTCCTTTGGATTCGAATTTAGGAGAAGAGAGCTGGGGAGGGGAGGCACAACTAAAATGGCTAAAGGCCAGGCGGTTACTCGCCAGCAAGGTGCCAGGCTGGACCCCAGCAGGGTCAATACGAGGGATATATGGATATAAGGGCACGTTTGGTTTTCACAAGTCAGATGACTTATTAAGTCAGGTGACTGAAAACTAGTAACTTATAAGTCATGTCTGTTTAGTTGTAGATGATTTATAAACTTATTAAAGGTGTGGGGCCCATGTGAAAAAGGGTGGCTTATAAGGTTTAAGCAGGGGTGAACCAACTTAAAATTTATAAGCAGGGGTGACTTATAAGTTGGTGGTGTTTGACAAAATAAGTCACTTTTTTCACTTTTTAATTTATAAGGAGGTGACTTATTTGGAACCAAACAGGCCCTAAGACTGGGTCTTGTTTACATTCGGTGGGTAAAGTTTTAGGGTGTCACATTAGATATCATATAGGGTGTTCGGATACTTATAAAAAATAAATTACAGAATTCGTAAGTAATCCTAATTAATCCACCATTAGCACATGTGTTACTGTAGCACCACATTGTCAAATCATGGACTAATTAGGCTTAAAAGATTCGTCTTGTAATGTCATATGAGGTGTTCGGATACTAATAAAAAAATAAATTACAGAATTCGTAAGTAATCCTAATTAATCCACCATTAGCACATGTGTTACTGTAGCACCACATTGTCAAATCATGGACTAATTAGGCTTAAAAGATTCGTCTCGCAAATTAGTCGCAAACTGTGCAATTAGTTTTTTTTGTCTATATTTAATACTCTATGCATGTATCTAAACATTCGATAAGAAAGGGAGTAAACTTTAGGGGAGAAACTAAACAAAGGCCTAGACGGCCCGACTAGTTCTCTTGTCTCAAATCATGAATTGGGCTGGACATTTCATTGTCCCGACGCTCATGCAATCCGCCCCCGTCCGCCTTTGTCCCAACCCCATCCACTTTTGTCTCGCCCCATGCGCGCACTCGTAGCTGAGGACGAGCACGCCTCTAGTGTGCCCCGATCGCAGCACCACTGTCTGTCGGCCCAGCGCCCCCGTCCGCCGGCACCCCCGCCGCGCCGCGCGCCCAGTACACTTGCCCCCGGCCGTATAGCATAAAACACTTGCAACATGAAAATATTTGAATGCAACATACATCTAAAAGTAGATGAAACATTTAAAACATGCACTTGCAACATGCGTGTGAAACACATGAAACATCCAAATTTGCAACTTGCAACATGAAACCACTTGCTCCAACATAAGACTAAAATATTTGGAACATACTGTTACAACATATGCGTGAAGCATTCAGATAAAAAAAAGATTACAACATATGTTTGGACAGATGAAATATTTTGAACAAAAGCTTGAAACATGCCTCTGAAACACTTGCAACATATGCAACATCCCTCGATCTACTTTTGCAACATCAACATAAAATAATTTCATCGTACATATGAAACGTCTGAAACACTTCAAACATACATATGCAACATAGGGGAGGGAAGGCTGGGGCAATTGATTTTGGCCGTCGGGGTGGGAGCCGACGGCGAGCACGACGCGCGAGCCCCATCAGCACCGACCATGCTCATGGGTGTCCTTGGCTCGGCCGGGGAAGACCTAAGGCGCCACGGCACGTGTACCCCTGCGGCCATGGATGGGGTCAGCGGCGTGCCAACGACGATGGGCAATGGACGAACGGCGAGGGAGCAAGCGATGCAGGTGACTACCACGCGGGTGAGTAGCTTAGGGGGTAAGGGCGCGCGGCGCGGCCGGCGATGGGGGAAGGACGCGACGCGGTAGCCCGATGAGCACGTGCTGGGGAAGGGGCAGACGGATGAGCAGTCACGCCGAGCGATGTATGTGGCTGCCACGCTGGTGAGCAGCGCAGGGAGTGAGGGCGCGCGGCGTGGTAGCCCAATGAGCGCGCGCTGGAGAAGGGGCGGACGGATAAGCAACTACGCTGCTTTGGGGCCGGGCGGATAAGCACGAAGGAGTGGAGGGTGCGCTCGAAGGGACAAGCGGATAAGCACGAGAGAATGGAGATTTATTTTTTGTTTGAGGCCCCTCCTGGGGAGCCGTGTCCGGACACAGAGTCACGGATGGACGCAAGTATTACCATTCATCCGTACCTATCACTGGGAGGGTGGACAAATCCATACTTTTTCATGCCCAATCCATTATATCGTTGTTCATTTTTCACCCTCCCTAATCTTATTCTTACCCATTGGATAATAACCAATTTTATCCATACTCATTAATTTGAGTTGAACTACTAGTTTATACATGTGGGCTCCATATCAAAGTTGGACCTTTGATTCAAAATCTCGTGTCCACACCTTAACATTTTAGCGAAACTAACTAAAACTTGGTAAAATAATACATTATAATAGTCCGCAACTTTGTGCAAATTAACAAAATTAGATCTATATGTGGGACCCACATAAAAGTGAGACCTTGATATTAAAAAACCTCGCATTCACACTTAAAATTTTGAGAAAACTGATCGAAACTTTTTTGGGATGAGTCAGCATGACATAGAACTACTTTGTGCAGACTGGTGTAGCTAGATTTAAATGTGGCCCCACGTTAAAAGCCAGACCCTAAAATTAAAAACCTCATGTTAACACCTTAAAATTTTAGCAAAATTTTCTGAAATTAGTTGGAGATGACTCGTATGACCGGCAGCAATTTTGTGCAGAATAATGTTGCTAGTTATATATGTGGATCCCACATCAAAAGCTGGACCCTAAAATTAAAACATTGCTTTCACACCTTAAAATTTTCATGAAATTGACTAAAATTTGTTGGAGATGACTCGTTATAGCAGACACCAATATTGTGCAGATTGGTGAACCTGCTCTTCTAGAAATAGCTCATGAGCATCTGCATTTTGTTGATTGGCCGCCAATTTCTTATGTTTATTAGACAGTTTATTTTTTGATCTACTTACAAACGATTTCTCTGTCCTTTTCATTTGTTTTATATGCCGAACGGTTATGATGTGAACTAAATCTCCTTTGCTACTAGCATTTGTAGCAGGTTCAAGTTGGAGCTGAAATGTTAAGATGTTTATGCAAATCAGAGTTGACATGCCGGAGTGTTGATAACTTGATACCAAAAATCAAAGAGATTAATGTTGATTTGTTATGAGAGAACTAGTTGAAACCTTGCAGAGCTCTAATTTTAGTTACTTGAAATGTTTTATTCATGCATAGTTTCTGGGATGACCCAATGCGTCATTTAAGGTCATGTATAAATATTTCATGTACTGCCATTTGCTCAAGTATATGCACTGTTATAGTTTCAGATCCTATTCCATTTTTTATGGTTGGTTTTGAATTTTTGGGTTAGCTAGTATTCGAGATTTTCATTTTTAGATTTTTCATACTGGTTTTTTTAGTATTTTACTTGATATGGTACCTTGGTAAAGAACAGAGCTTGTTGTATTCAGCAACTACCTAGTAGCGGCCGACCACCATGGTTTTGCAGTTTTGCTGCACACACGTGTGACGGTGTGAGGGGGAACGGGATCGGCAATCCCTGTGTGCAGCGTGGACGGAGGGGAATCACCCAATCCTGTGTGGTTTGTTTGCTCCAAATGTGGTTATCACCCCCGAATTGCCAAACGAGCGCTGAGTGGGAAGAAGAAATAAATAGGGAGCGCGTATCTATATAAAGTTTGTCTTAAGAAGATGCGGTGACGAAGATTTTTGAGGATATAAGGTGAATGTATACTACGGTTAAAAGTGGCATACATACGTTATTAAGAACAAATATTTATCACTTCACCTTTTCTCAAAAAGTCAATTTTTCATCTGGCTGGAGAGGGTGGATGGTGTTGGCAATGACAGAGGGAAGGGGGCTGATGGGTGGGTGGGGGCGCCACCCCCAAATATTTCTGTGGTCTCACAATGCATCTTCTTAATTAATTATTTGATATTTTAATTAGCTAGTTAATGATATTGTTAGTGCTTTAATTTTCTCTAATAACATCTTATATAATTAAAAATTAATCTTTTTATTATTTTCTCTATCTCTTTTGTTTTATCTTATTATTGTCTACCACATGTCTAGTTCGTCCCCACAATACACTCTTTAATTTTAGCTTGTTAAATGTAATTAGTGATTTATCTCTTTCATTACAGAATGTAGAATCCAAATCACAATCGCCAACCTAAGAGAGAAAACATAAGGGAAATCCTCAGTCCTAAGTGACACGATCACCAACCTCTAGTACACTCAAAATTCAAATACATCTGAAACAAACAACTTAATCAACCAATGTAGAATCCAAATTCAGTTCCTTATGCGTTGGTGAAGGACAAAATGAAAATGGTTCTGTTCCTGAGACCACCACATCAGATATTGTTAAGTGGACTACTTTTATTTGCAGAAGTTTTGATGCGATATTTCACTAGCATCTGCATCCCCATACGGCCATACCAATATGATGATATTTCACAAGTATCTGAAATATATAACTCAGCAAAATGCTTAAGCAAGCACGTCCTCTATGTTAAAAGAAAACGAATAAAGATCAATCACGGCAATCGCATATGAAGTTCAGCCTAGACCAGGTACCAGAAGTAAAGTAAGGGCAATACAACACAAGTAGTTCGCATGTTATTAAACATCCTCGCAATAGCGCATATTAGATTCATAATGTGTTAACAATCAGTGTAATCCAGTTCCTCTCACTATGTTGAAAGTTGAAATCAAACCAGTTCTGTTCTTAAGGAGTCCCCACATTAACCCTTTATTCAAGTTTATTCACACAGATTGATATGATGATGTTCATTGGTATCTCAAACATGTAGCTGAATCCAATGATATGATGATATTTCACCAACATATCAAACACATAGATAGCACAAGAAAAATGA